GAATTTTTATATTATTTATTAAATATTGTATTATTTATTTGTATTAAAACTGTAAGCCTACTTTTATCCACCCCTGTATGCAATAATTTTTAAAATACACAAGCATATGCACATATGCTTTAAAGGGGGGATAAAGGGGGCCATGCCATACAAACTCTTCTGCAATATGCTCTTTCATTTTATTATCTTGGCTATCTTTCCATTTCAGTACATTGAGATTCACCCTATTTCATCGATTCTAAGAAGCACTTCCCAAAAACAGACACACTATTAACATTTCTGAAATCAGAATGTTTCTTATAATCAATGGTGTCTTACAACTGCCATCAGCCAGGTAGCAGTGTGGTAGAATTGTGTGAAAACTTTCCATTTTATCTTTTCTGGTAAAATGAGGAAGGCACCAGCATCCAAGTATCTAAGAATAGTACAGTTAACATTCATCTGCATTGTCCACTCATAGATGTATATAATTTATCTAATGCTATATCACAAACTAAATTCTCTGCAGAATTGCTAAATTAAAGGTTAAGCACATTAAAAATGTAAAACTATTACTGGAAATACCCATTTCCAATACTGGGTATTAATAACATAATAATTTTTAAAAATATTCATTAATCTCAAAAAGCTTGAATGTTTTAAATCACTTTTTAAAAATATTTTAAGATAATTTGATTCACCTGTTGATGAAAGAAATATTAGAGCAATCCTATGTTCCCTTTACCCAGTTTCCTCTAATGATAAACATTTTTTTAAAAATATATTTTTATTGATTTCAGAGAGAAAGGGAAAGGGAGAGAAAGATAGAAACATCAAAGATGAGAGAGAATGGTTGACCAGCTGCTTCCTGCACGTCCCCTACTGGGGATCGAGCCCGCAACCCGGGACCTTTTAGTCCACAGGCCAACGCTCTATCCACTGAGCCAAACCGGCTAGGGCGATAAACATTTTTTAAAAACATATTTTTAATGATTTCAGAGAGGAAGGGAAAGGGAGAGAAAGATAGAAACATCAAAGATGAGAGAGAATGGTTGACCAGCTGCTTCCTGCACGTCCCCTACTGGGGATCGAGCCCGCAACCCGGGACCTTTTAGTCTGCAGGCTGACGCTCTATCCACTAAGGCAAACCGGCTAGGGCTAATGATAAACATTTTGCAAAACTACAGTACACTATCACAACCAGAATATCCACATTTGATCTTTGTCCAATTCTTAGAATTTCCTGAGTGATAGGAATGCCTTATTTATAACAAGCCCCTCTTAACCTTATCCAAGTTTATGCTATGAAGTGACTATTGGTGGGCCCCTAAAGAACTTGAAAATGGAGGCTGGTAATTTCAAGAGGATCTAAATCATGTGATTAGAAGGTTAGAATGTTCAGCCTCATTTTTACTTCCAGGGAGAAAAGAGGGGCTGGAGATTGAACCAAATCACCCAGTCAATGATCTAATCACTTGTGCCTACATGGTGGAGCCTCCATAAAAACCCCTAAACAATAAAGTCTGGAGAGCTTCCGAGTTGGCAAATACATTCACGTGGTGAAAGGATGATGCACCTTACCTCCACAGAAACAGAGGTTCTTGCACATGGGACCCTTTTATAGACCTTACCCTTTATACATCCTCATTTAGCTATTCATTGGTGTCCTTTATAATAAACTGATAGTAGCCATAGCATTTTCTTGAGTTCTTTGAGTTGTTCTAGCAATTTACTAAAACTTGGGATGGTAGTATGGGAACCTTTAAATTTATAGCCAAGTTAGTCAGATGTGTGGGTAATGTTGGGGACTTGATACTTGGAACTAGCGTCTGATTGAGTCTTGTGGGACTAAGCCCTTAAACCTGTGGAGGCCGATGCCACCTTCAGGTAGTTAGTGTCAGAATTGAATTGTAGGATACCTCATTGGTATCAAAGAATCAGAGAATCAGAGAACTGGTTGTTGATTCCATACCACATTTTGGAATGGCAAAAGAAAGAAATGAAGTACTGATGCATGCTACAAAACGGATAAACCCTGAAAACACGCTAAGTTAAAGAAGACAATCACAAAAGATCACATGTGCAATCACATAAACACAGACAGTAAACTACTGGTTGCCTAAGGCTAAGGAGGAAGTTTAGAGTGACTGTTAATAGGTAAAGAATTTCTTTTGGGGGGTAACAAAAATGTTCTCGAATTAGACTGTGGAGATTGTTGCAAAACTCTGTGAACATACTAAAAACTACTGAATTGTACACTTTGGGTAAAATGTATGGTATGTGAGTCCTATTTCAATAAAACTGTTTTTTAAATATACTTTTATTGATTTCAGAGAGGAAGGGAAAGGGAGAGATAGAAACATCAATGATGAGAGAGAATCATTGATCAGCTGCCTCCTGCATAGCCCTTACTGGGGATCAAGCCAGCAAACTGGGCATGTGCCCTGACCAGGAATCAAAATATGACCTCCTGGTTCATAGGTTGACACTCAACCACTGAGCAACACCTGCCGTGCTCAATAAAACTGTTTTTAAAAAGAATGTTATAGCCCTAGCTGTTTTGTTCAGTGGATAGAGCGTCGACCTGCGGATTGAGTTATGATAAGCTAAAAATTAACTGTCATTACTTGTCTGTATTCATATCTCTACACAAAAACAAAACTACCTAAAAATGTAGAGCCTATAATTAGGATGTGGTGGGGGTGACAGCAAAGGCAATGCGGTGGGAAGGCTAAATTTCAAGTTATAGGCTCCCACCTTGCTTCCGACAGCCTGGGATTTTGATAAAGGCTCCATAGTCTGTCACCATAGCAACCTATAAAGACAAAAAAGAAAATCAATTTCTCACAAATGTGTCTCTCTCTGGAGCATTTAACCTAGTCTCCCTGAATTTCTACTTGATATTGACTGCCTGTCTGCCTGCTGCAAAACTGCCTAACAGTGATGTTCTGTCAAACATTTTTATTCTGTAAAAAATTTAGACTGACAAGTATGTGTGAACTCATTAAAAACATTGGTGAGATTGGACTATTGTCAGATGCTATGACAGTACCCAGGAATGCCCGAATCCCACACCAATTAAAACCTCCAAAGTATGTGAACAAAAGGAACAAACAGCAGAAAATCAGGTAATAAAGTTACACTTTCTACTAGCTGGAACTGACAGCTCCAATCCCAATTCAGAGAACTCTAACAATATGGGACAGATCATGTAGGACACTCCTTTTTCCTACTTCAAATCAAACCAGACCAAACAGCCTATAATTGTATGGTTAGTTCACTTCAAACCAGAGTCTTGAGTTTTATCAAGATAATTAGAGAAAAAGCCAATTTTTGAAACAGAAAAGATATAATCAGAGAGAAAAAGAGTTGTCCTCAATTCTTATACAGAGTTGACCTAAGATGGATGGAGGGGTTAGAGGTTTGATCAGTCTATGTACTGTATAGTATGTAATAGTAATGAACAACCCAGATAGGGAAAGGGAGAGATAGAAACATCAATGATGAGAGAGAATCATTGATCAGCTGCCTCCTGCATAGCCCTTACTGGGGATCAAGCCAGCAAACTGGGCATGTGCCCTGACCAGGAATCAAAATATGACCTCCTGGTTCATAGGTTGACACTCAACCACTGAGCAACACCTGCCGTGCTCAATAAAACTGTTTTTAAAAAGAATGTTATAGCCCTAGCTGTTTTGTTCAGTGGATAGAGCGTCGACCTGCGGATTGAGTTATGATAAGCTAAAAATTAACTGTCATTACTTGTCTGTATTCATATCTCTACACAAAAACAAAACTACCTAAAAATGTAGAGCCTATAATTAGGATGTGGTGGGGGTGACAGCAAAGGCAATGCGGTGGGAAGGCTAAAACGAAATCAATAAAAAATTATTTAAAAATAAAAAATGTTATATAAATGGAATAGCAAAGTGTATAATCTTTTGGGAATAACTTATTCAATCACATGAATTCTCTGGAGATTGATCCAGATTGTTGCGCATATCAATACTTCATTTTCATTGCTGAGCAGTATTCCATTGTATGGACGTACCACTGTTTACGTTATTTTTTAAATCAATATTGAATGAAAATGAGCATCTTTTAAGCTATTTATTAATCAACTGCTATTTTTTCCCCTGTGAATTCTTTTCATAGCCTTGGCTCCTTTTCCTACTTCACCGTTCTTTTATGAGTCCTTTGTCATAGTATGACAAATTCTTTGTCTCAACTTCGCTTATGATAATTTTTGCAATGCAGCTTTTTACGTTTATGCAGTATTATTCTACATTTTCTTCTAATAATATCTTATGGTGGCATTTTTTCCATTACAATCTTTAATTTATTTTAGCACAAGAAATTAACAAGTTGAGTCTTTGGATCCACTAGCAGTGTGATGCAGTAGAAAGCCCATGAGGCTAGAAATCAGGAGACTTGGGTTCTGGTACTGCCTGTGCTATTACCTAGCTAAATCACTCTGAGCAGGTTACCAGTCTATAAAACTTGCTTTTTCTACTTACGAGTGTTTTGAGAAACAAATAAGATTATACACGTAAAACAGATTCTCCAAAAATGTTCCACAAACATTTGAACCTATTAATATGTAAAAAAAATTTAAAGCATTTAACATATATATTTGTATTGGTTATAATACTATTTCCTTTCCGTGTGCATAAATGGAAAACTCACGATGTTAGCCTTAGGGAGTAAGTATCTTGCCCTCCCCCAAATCCCAAGACCAAAGAGGTCAAGTGACTTGCCTGGGGTCACAGGTTAAATTTGGGGAAGAGCTGGTTCCAGAAGTGAACCAAAGTAGCTAAACGCCAACCATCCCTCCAAGTCAGAGAGCACCATTCTTCTGAGTTATGATAAGCTAAAAATTAACTGTCATTACTTGTCTGTATTCATATCTCTACACAAAAACAAAACTACCTAAAAATGTAGAGCCTATAATTAGGATGTGGTGGGGGTGACAGCAAAGGCAATGCGGTGGGAAGGCTAAATTTCAAGTTATAGGCTCCCACCTTGCTTCCGACAGCCTGGGATTTTGATAAAGGCTCCATAGTCTGTCACCATAGCAACCTATAAAGACAAAAAAGAAAATCAATGTCTCACAAATGAGTCTCTCTTCTGGAGCATTTAACCTAGTCTCCCTGAATTTCTACTTGATATTGACTGCCTGTCTGCCTGCTGCAAAACTGCCTAACAGTGATGTTCTGTCAAACATTTTTATTCTGTAAAAAATTTAGACTGACAAGTATGTGTGAACTCATTAAAAACATTGGTGAGATTGGACTATTGTCAGATGCTATGACAGTACCCAGGAATGCCCGAATCCCACACCAATTAAAACCTCCAAAGTATGTGAACAAAAGGAACAAACAGCAGAAAATCAAGTAATAAAGTTACACTTTCTACTAGCTGGAACTGACAGCTCCAATCCCAATTCAGAGAACTCTAACAATATGGGACAGATCATGTAGGACACTCCTTTTTCCTACTTCAAATCAAACCAGACCAAACAGCCTATAATTGTATGGTTAGTTCACTTCAAACCAGAGTCTTGAGTTTTATCAAGATAATTAGAGAAAAAGCCAATTTTTGAAACAGAAAAGATATAATCAGAGAGAAAAAGAGTTGTCCTCAATTCTTATACAGAGTTGACCTAAGATGGATGGAGGGGTTAGAGGTTTGATCAGTCTATGTACTGTATAGTATGTAATAGTAATGAACAACCCAGATCCCTTGCCAGGTAATTCATTATTCCAGACTACCTCTCTCCTCCCCTCTTTCTTCTAGCCCACCCTTCTCACATGTGGATTAGGATTAAAGTTGTCACTACATATTATATTTATCTTAAATTCATTATTATTTTTATAAAATATCCAATACAATCTTATACATATAAACTTTACTCTTTTCAGTGACTTTAATTAGTTGTTCACTGTTTCAGCTTCACAAATAAGGGGATAGAATAAGACAACATCTGCTGTACTGCTATTCACTAATATATAATTAACTAGAGGCCCGATGCACTCAGGGGGTCCCTCAGCCTGGCCTGCACCCTCTCGCAGTCTGGAACCCCTCGGGTATGTCCACCTGCCAGCTTAGGCCTGCTCCCCAGGGAATCGGGCCTAAGCTGGCAGTCAGACATCCCCTGGCTGCCTGGGAGCCCTCGAGGGATGTCCAACTGTGGCTTAGGCCCGCTCCTGTGGGCCTAAGCCGCAGTCAGACATCCTTAGCGCTGCTGAGCAGGTGGGAGAGGCTCCCACCACCACCCCTGCACTCACAGCCATCAGTCCAGCTTGTGGCTAAGCAGAGCTCCCCCTGTGGGAGCGCACTGACCACCAGGGGGCAGCTCCTGCGTTGAGCGTCTGCCCCCTGGTGATCAGTGTGCGTCATAGCAACTGGTCGTTCTGCTGTTAGGGTCAATTTGCATATTACCCTTTTATATAGGAACTAGAGGCCCGGTGCACAAAAATTTGTGCACTCGGGGGGCGGGGGGTCCCCCAGCCCGGCCTGTGCCCTCTCGCAGTCTGGGACCCCTCGGGAGATAACGACCTGCTGGCTTAGGCCTGCTCCCGGGTGGCAGAGGGCAGGCCCAATCCCTA